ATATAGAAATAAAAACATTAGTCACAATAAACAACGTGTACAACTCTGAAATATGTGTATTAATATGAAAGTTTCAAAACTGCTTTGTTCTAAGAAAAGCATATAATTTTTAAAAACTGTAAACATAATCTGTTAACGGTTTTTAATAATTACATTACTATTAAAATAAATATTAAAACTGTAAATTTTAGCTCAATAACATTTATGAATTTCAAATACACAAGGCAAAATATACTATTACACAAATTAAAATTAAAATTTAATTTCTAAATTTTAGTTGCTGTCTATCTTTAATTATGATATGGATATTCGTATCTAAAAAGACTAGATTTTCAAGAAAAGAATTTCCAAAGGGTAATTTGGTATAATATAACAGAATCAGTAATTTGCCATAAAACAAATTCTTTTGATTAAAGTTCGATATTTCAGTTTGAACGTTCCATAACAGTAAATGCTAAATTTAAATGTTATACTTCGTAGTTTCGTAGAAAGTATTTTCAAAATGTGTTCTTTCAGTACGAAATACTTTGTAAATACTTCAGAACATTCATTAATTTCAAAAGGATTAGTATGGGATGTCCACGTATTTTTATATAATTCGGTTTACAAAGATTCATTTAAAAATGAGGAAGTAGAAATATATCTTTCAAGATAAATTTTAAAAATAAGCCAAAGACATTTAAAATGCAAAAAGTTTATTAAAAACATGCATCTCAATTTATGCATTAAAAATTGTAAACATTTCTTTGTAATAAAGGCATGAGTAGAACAATGAATACCTAAACACAAAACCTGAAAACATTTAATAAACATTTAAAATATATACATAGATAATTTCTTTTTGATAATGTTCTCAATTTCTTAATATATTACTGTAACATAACGACGATGAGACGATCTCTGTATTGCATAGATAACATTGAGCACTATAGTAATTAATACACAATAACACGCCGAATAACTACTAATTCAGAAGTCAAACAACAAAAATCAGCGTTATACACACAAAACTTTCACAGGACTAGTTTCGATGGTTTTACCGAACCATCATCTTTAGCTGCAAATGAACAAGATAGGAAATAATGATTAGATAAGATAAGAAAGCCTGGACAAGAATAAGCAAGTGGCGCCATCTGTTGGCGAAACCAGAACTAAAACATAATTTCTCTAAAAGCCGAAGGCAAATTTGGATTGGAATTAGGATCGTTAACTAGAACAGAAAGATTTTTATGAATGTGAAATGCCTCTAGAAAATCCAGTTTTCCAATGGAAGATGTTTTTTGAATAATTTTGGCAGCAGAAAAATTGAAAGTGTGATTTTCGGACCAACAATGTTGAGCAACAGAAGACTTCTGTGTTTCCTTTTTTCTAACATATGCCTCATGTTCTTTGACGCGAAATTTTAAGGCTCTCTTAGTTTGGCCAATGTAAATTAAACCACACTGGCAAGGAATCCTATAAATACCCCAGGAATTCATATCCGGAATGGGGTCCTTGAGTATAGAAGTTGGAATTTTATTGATGGGAGAATAAACAACCCGAAAGTTAAATTTCTGCAAAATATGTGCAACTTTATAGCTAATTGATGGAAAGAAGGGAATGACAACAGGATTTTTATAATCTCCTAAAATAAGAGTGTGGCTTTTAGTGTGTTGAGATGAGAATTTTTTAACTGCTTGATTAATAATGTTGGGTGAAAAGCCCCTGTCAATAGCTATTGCTTTTAAATAATTTAGTTCTTCATCAAGGGCTAGTTTGGAGGAGCAAACTTGAAGAGCACGGAAAACATAGGAATAAAATGAAGCTAACTTTTGTTTTGTCGGATGACATGATTTAAAATGTGGTGGAAGGCAAACCGATGAAGGTTTACGGTAAACTGTAGTACTGAAGTTGGATGTTACGTGTGACCAGAATGTCGAGAAACGGAAGAGAATTGCAAGTCTCAAGTTCAAAAGTGAACTGAATAGCAGGATCAATAGAATTCATTGTTGAAAGAACTTTATTTAAATCATCTTTGTTACCTTCAAACAGGGTAAAAGTATCGTCTACGTAGCGGAACCATGCCGGGAAGTTTAAAGTTTCAAACAATTTTGATTCATAATAATGCATGTAGATATCAGCCAGGATGGGACTGAGGGGGCTTCCCATGGCTAATCCCTCAGTTTGCTTGTAATATTTATTTTGGAAAACAAAATGTGTTTGTTTCAAACAGAGTTAAGTGAGAGAAATTAGCTCATCAATTTCGATGCAAGAGAAATGAAATTCGCGAAGTCTGGTTTCTAGACATCTTAATGCACCCTCCACTGGGACATTGGTGAATAATGATTTTACATCAAAAGAAACCATGAGTAAATTACTAGGAGAAATGTTTTTAACCCTTTTTTACAAACTCTATTGAATTTTTTATGGTGTAAATGTTATTGTCTAATAGAGTGGAAAATCTAGAAACTAAATATTTAGCTAAAGGATACGAGGCAGTACCTAAATTTGATACAATAGGGCGGAAAGGAATACCACTTTTATGAATTTTGGGAAGAGCATATAATCTGGCACAATTCGCAACAGATGGGATAAGCGAATGTTTTAAGTTGCTTGAAATGATTTGCGAAGATTTGATCGCAGTTTTTTTTTGGATAAGTCCGAAGGTGAAGGATCTTTAAGGATCGGATTATATGGTCCTTCGTTTAAGAGTTTAGTGACACCATCGATGTAAGTGTTCTTATCCATGACGACTATCTGGCCACCTTTGTCGGCCTTTGAAATGATAATATCCGGGTTAGAATGAATTTCGCGCATTGTAGCTCTTTCTCTCGCAGTTAGATTTGGTTTCAAAGGTTTATTATTGAATTTCACATTATGAGCGATAAGATGCCTAATCATTTCTTTCTGTGAATCTGAAACTTTACTGAACTTGAAAGCTTTTTCGATAGGAGCCAAAATCTTTGGAATCGAGGGTTTACAGGTTTGTGAGAAGTTAAAATTATATTTTAGAATTCTCTCTTGTTCTTCTGAAAGACTAACATTAGAATTATTAACTATTGGCTTGATGTTTACAATGGGAAGATTTTTTGAACTACTTGAACTGGAAGACTGTAAAAGAAGTTTTTCGAATTTAACTGCAAGGGTGTTTTTATGACGGTTAACTGCATTCTGCGTTCTAGACCAAGACTTTTGTTCAAGGGCAGTGAATTTTGGATATGATTTAGCGAGTTCCAGATGAAGCTTATAGAGTTCATGTTCAATTTTGGACAATTGTTGACGTGTATCCCTTATCACGGACCGAAGTAAGGCAAGCTTGCAATTTAACAGAATTCTTGAAACGCGACTCGAAGGTTTTTGATTAGATTTGATTTGAATAAAATTGGGGATCAATTTTTTACATTTTCATTTAAGTAAAAATTCAAGATGATTCAGGAATTTTTGCCGTTTCAGGCGTAATTTAGTGAAACGATTAACGGATGAAGGCATAATAAACAATGCAGAAAATCAAACTAAATTAACTGAGCAATAATAAAGTACACACAAAACAGCAGAAAAATCCCTCACTGAAATGAATAGAAAACAAAACGTTTGTAAGCAAAATGCATGAAATCAGAAAAGCAAAGCACAATATCCAAATGTACAAAACATAAACATAACTTGAAAAGTGCAAAAATGTACTCACCGAAACTCCTACAATCACAAAATGGCGGCCACACCACGTGCAAAAAAGAAAGCAAAATGTAAGCCTGTTTGGGGCTTCTATAATTAATACACAATAACACGCCGAATAAATACTAATTCAGAAGTCAAACAACAAAAATCAGCGTTATACACACAAAACTTTCACAGGACTAGTTTCGATGGTTTTACCGAACCATCATCTTCAGCTGCAAATGAACAAGATAGGAAATAATGATTAGATAAGATAGGAAAGCCTGGACAAGAATAAGCAAGTGGCGACATCTGTTGGCGAAACCAGAACTAAAACATAATTTTTCTAAAAGCCGAAGGCAAATTTGGATTGGAATTAGGATCGTTAACTAGAACAGAAAGATTTTTATGAATGTGAAATGCTTCTAGAAAATCCAGTTCTCCAATGGAAGATGTTTTTTGAATAATTTTGGCAGCAGAAAAATTGAAAGTGTGATTTTCGGACCAACAATGTTGAGCAACAGAAGACTTCTGTGTTTCCTTTTTTTCTAACATATGCCTCATGTTCTTTGACGCGAAATTTTAAGGCTCTCTTAGTTTGGCCAATGTAAATTAAACCACACTGGCAAGGAATCCTATAATATACCCCAGGAATTCATATCCGGAATGGGGTCCTTGAGTATAGAAGTTGGAATTTTATTGATGGGAGAATAAACAACCCGAAAGTTAAATTTCTGCAAAATATGTGCAACTTTATAGCTAATTGATGGAAAGAAGGGAATGACAACAGGATTTTTATAATCTCTTCTTTCCATCAATTAGCTATAAAGTTGCACATATTTTGCAGAAATTTAACTTTCGGGTTGTTTATTCTCCCATCAATAAAATTCCAACTTCTATACTCAAGGACCCCATTCCGGATATGAATTCCTGGGGTATTTATAGGATTCCTTGCCAGTGTGGTTTAATTTACATTGGCCAAACTAAGAGAGCCTTAAAATTTCGCGTCAAAGAACATGAGGCATATGTTAGAAAGAAGGACACACAGAAGTCTTCTGTTGCTCAACATTGTTTGGTCCGAAAATCACACTTTCAATTTTTCTGCTGCCAAAATTATTCAAAAAACATCTTCCATTGGAGAACTGGATTTTCTAGAGGCATTTCACATTCATAAAATCTTTCTGTTCTAGTTAACGATCCTATTCCAATCCAATTTGCCTTCGGCTTTTAGAGAAATTATGTTTTTAGTTTGTGGTTTCGCCAACAATGGCGCCACTTGCTTATTCTTGTCCAGGCTTTCTTATCTTATCTAATCATTATTTCCTATCTTGTTCATTTGCGGTTTTGCAGCTGAAGATGATGGTTCGGTAAAACCATCGAAACTAGTCCTGTGAAAGTTTTGTGTGTATAACGCTGATTTTTGTTGTTTGACTTCTGAATCACTATAATAATATAATGCACATAATTTCACTTTTATCACTCTATTGCTAATATTTTTCAGTTCATAATTGCATAAGCGATGGGACATGATTGACAACTTCTGGCATAAAATTACATGTTTCTTTAACGCAGTTCTCAGTAACAATCAAAACATTTCTGGGGAAGATACACTTTTCAGCAGTTTTGTAGAAGTAAATCAGTGTTGAATATATTGATTGATTTATTGGATTTGAGGAAAGTGCAAAATGTACCCAGACAAAAATTATGTGCATTTTTCTTTCCGTCAAAAATTTAAAACAATAAGTTTTTAGGGCAGTGAAAATGTAAAAATTCTGTGATTTAGGCCGTTTTCATACCACCCTTTTATAATATCTGGAATCAAGAGAAGTATGTTTACAATGGCGTAGGCTATTTGTTGTCATTCAAAGAATTCAAGCTTCTGTTAACGATGACATTCTCACCAAACCTAACATTCTACCTTCGTTGATAACATCAGTTTCATCAACTGACTGCTTTTCTGTGTTTCCATCGTCTTCATCATCGTAGAGATTTTTGAGTCGAGAACTTAGTACGCAGACCATAATGTCTGTAAGACAACCCAAGAAAACAAATGCAGCCGACACTCCATGCAATAGGAAACGGAATTTGTCACTATCATATATCCAACAGCTTCCCCTCTTGCCACATTCTTCCCACACTAAGCAACTTGCGTCTGTCAATGAGCCATAAATTAAAGGATATGGAATAAAAGCTGTGAATAAAAGAGATAAAATTAATTTAGATCCATTGACTTTAACATCTTAGCATCAAATTACTGCAAAGTGTTTAACATTGAATGAAAAACATAAAGGAAGGTTTTATTATAGTTTTGGAAAGCTCTTTGATTACATCTCATTGTTAATGTCCCATATGAGTACTGTAAGTCTCGTGCTTTACAGATCTCAATTATACTTTTATTGTTTTTACAATACTGTGAGTGTAGGGGAACATTTTTTATAGAGTAAAGATCTCACTTAATTCAGTTCTTAACAAGTACGTTAAAGTAAGAAGAAAATCTTACTAATTTTTATTTTCGGTTTAGTTTATGGCAAGTACTTTGACTCAAGCAGACTAATTATCTTTCTCTTTTGGAGTTTTATTCGTAGATGACAATTTACTTCTAGCAAAATAACTAATTTGATCCTTACTTGGAAAAAAAAAAACGAAACAATCTCACTTAATTTAGTTATTGTTAATTGACAGTAGATTGGTTTGTTTCCCTTGAAAATTAAATTACTCTATTGTCACTAGCAATGGCTACCTTTTTAGTATTTTAAATTTTAATTTTACTCTTTGGAATTTTTGTAATACTATTTCTACACAGCATATTAAAATATTTTTACTACAATAGAAATTTAAATAACTTTGTAGGGATTCCCTTTTTTTCATAACAAATCTATTTTAAGTTTGATACACTTCCTGAACTCCTCAACTTCCCCTCGCATTTTCTCACCAGGATGTATATTTTAAGTTAAGTGAAGTGAGTATTTTAACGGGTGAATCTCTGAATTTATTCAGATAGTGTTTTCGCTAGCCAGCGCACGTTTCGTTGCTATCGCGCTGTTACGCTAGTACGCCTCTTGGCCACTTCGGATTATCGTCACGGTTGTTAGGTTTTCGTTGGACGTAACTTAAAGTGCTAATCCAGCCCTATTCTATTTTAGATTTGAATTGATTTTTTTATTCTACGTTTAAGTTCCACTGCAACTGGTCGGTGTTACTCTAAAGCATGAAGTTCGTGCCTTTCTGTTTAGATTTGAATTAATAAAGGGTTACTTTTCACTCTTCTTCTATGCTGGTATTTCATTCATGCTGAATTCGCCAGGTTCATTGTAGGATCTAGTTTAGTTTATGCGGAATAGAAGAGACAGATCTTACAACTTTTACTTAAAATACTGACTCAAATTTATACCAATAATTAATCGCAGTAATTAAATTTATATCCCTTGGAGACGACATATATAAAAAGTTTCTAATAACAAATTATATATATATTTAAACACGAAAATTAAAAGCGAATTCGATTGAGAATTACTTTACAGAATTATTTGGTAGAATTATTTGAGAAATATAAGCTGTTAATAAATTATCGAAACACTTTACATTCTTGAGATAAATACCCCGCATTTTCAGAATTTTATCTCCAAAAATTTTAATGACTGATGCGAAAATTAAATGTGTTGCCTGTACTGGTAAGCAAATATAATTAAAAAAGTGTTGAAAGTTACGACGTGCTTTTGTTAGAAATATATCTCATACTGTGCAATGTTTTCTTCGGGGCTGCATTAGATAATTATAAAATAAATATTTGATTTAATTTTTATAACATACAACTAAAAAGTATTAAGGTATTTATAAAAGAAATTAAATTTCTACGTAAAAGAATTTTTAATTTTTTTTCATCGTTAAAAAGTGCAATATTGTCATCAAATATTTTCTTGATGTAATCTAACACCATCTAGATAAACTAAATTAATAATTAAAAATATAAAGTAGTAGACTATATAAAGATAATGCTGAGAATTAATCCTTGATCTTAGGGTTGTACATTGTTTTAGAATTAATGATGATGAAAATGTTTGAAGTGAATATGTATATATATTGGGTTATATAAAAATTCTCTGCGGTTTTTTGCCACTAGATGGTGTTGATACCTGTATATATCGGGTAACACTCACCCGATTGTCTCAAACGAACATGCACTTAAAAGGTGATATTTAGCTCCCATTGTGTGTTTGTGTTTCTAATTCATTGCTCGTGCAAATGTTATACTGATTTGAAAATGAGTGAAATATCTGAAGAAATACTCTATGTGATACTTTTGACTAGAAAAAAGGTATAAATGCTGCAAAAACACGCCGAAAAATTTGTGAAGTGTACGGTGAGAATGCTGTGAGTGAACGAAAGACCCAGGAGTGTTTGCAGGATTCCGTTCTGAAAAGAGATTTCGATGTCAAAGATGCACCTCGCTGTGGTCGGCTAGTCACTAAAAAATTCGATGAAGGTATGCAATTGGTTGAGTAAGACCGACATTCAAGCTGTCAGAAAATAGCGGAGGCACTAAAACATCAACAATATGAGTTTCGAATCATTTGAAAAGAGCAGGCTACAAAAAGAAGCTCGATGTTTCGGTGGCACATGAGGAATTATGAGTTATTATGAGCTGCTGCAACCTGGCGAAACTATCAATCGGCCTGTTCTGCTCACAACTCGACCGACCGTTTGAATGAACAATCCAGAAAGAGCGACCAGAATTGGACAACAGAAAGGGAGTTAGTTATGTTCCATCATGACAATGGGCGGCCACACACATCATCGATTTCTCGGAACAAATTGGCGAAACTTGGTCGGGAAGTTTTGATGCATATCCACTAATAGCTCGGACCTTGCACCGACTGACTACCATTTGTTTCGGTCTCTGCAAAACTCTCTTGATGGTAAGAAAGTGGCCCACCGAAGCGCCGCTGAAAATCACTTGGCCAAGTTTTTCGACGATAGACCACAGAATTTCTACACTGATGGAATTATAAAGCTACTTAAAAAATGGCAAAATGTCGTAGATAATAATGCTTAATATGTACTTGATTAAAACTGATTTTCAATAAAGAAAATTTTTGTTCAAATATGTACCAAAAACCGCGGAGATGTTTTATGTGGCCCAATATATGTGTCTGTGTGCGCGAGCACGTGTAGTTAAGCTTAGAATAAAAAAAATCTGTTCGGTCCCAAATAACTCTGTGTTACTTTTTAGCTTTAAAAATGTCTGATTTTAAAAGTATTAATGATATAAAAGAGATTTTAAACAAGAATTAGTGGCTAGGTATCCTTTAAAACATTGTTATAATAGAAACGGAACTTAGATTCCAAAGTTAACATCATATAAATATGTTCGAGTAGTAGCTGAGACATTTTCTGAAACATTGTCAAATTATTCTTTTTCTCAGCCTCTAATGGTCCAGTAAACACAGTCAAAAACTTAAAAAAGGTAAAAAAATAATACTTTTAGATAATTTCAGTAGTTAATTCATTATTGAGTTTCTAAAATGCAAAATATTTACTTAATTGCTTTGATACAATCCATAATTAATGCGATGAAATGTAACTTTCTAAATAGGTATTTTCTCCAAAACGTTTGAAGTAAGTGTCAGTTTTTTAAGTTTTAGAATTTTAGTTTAACGTATTAAGTCACTAATTTTGATAGGAAATAACATGAAAGAATGGTTGATGATATAGCAGGTTTTAAATTCTTGCTTAATCTTTTGCTTCAATCTCATCAGACTGACGAAAGACATGAAAGAATAACGTATTCTATACTTACCAAGAAGTGAAAAAACTGCAGATAAAGCTCCTAAGGCTAAACTTTTGTCCTCAGGATCAACGCATCTGAAATAAATATTGAGATATATGTTATACATTCTATTAATTGTTATTAATATTGATAACACACTTATTACTTTCTCAAATAACTATTGAATGTTTCTTCTTAATCTCACAAAATCAGTTAGGAATAATTATTTCTCTTTTAAAATTTATGTAGCAACTAGAATTATGATTCCTCAATTTATAAAGGGAATCCAATAAAGTTATTCAATGAAAACTTACTATAAATGAGAAAAAGCAAAAATTTTAATTGAAATATAACATATTAAATATTCATATTTTGTTTTATAAAATTAGAAATAAAATAATCCTCTGAAATAATCGAAGCGAATAATCCTTAGAAATAATTTGAAAATTTTAGAAATATTTTTATGAAAAAATTTTAGTTACCATTACATGGTACATAGTCATTCGTTGGAAATTTTCAGCAAATTTAGGACATTAAACTGCTTCTAAATGGCTAACATTAGCACAGCGAAGTTTTTTCGAGATACTTAATTTTTCTTACTTTGTACATTTGCTTTACTATAACTCATCACCGAAGTTTGAAAGAATCATACTTGAAGACCAAGTTATCTCACTACTTCATTTAAAGATTTCCCAAACAATAAATTATGTAAATCAATGTAATCTTTTACATCATTAATAATAATAAATAATATTTTCTATTGCAATACACAGGAACCTATAAAAGGTACTAAATTTTAATGTTTTTCAGGAAGATATTTCATTTAATACAAGAAATGATTACTAGTTAATTAATAATCCACAGGTGAAAATTTATTACTCTAAGGCCTAACCTAGACTTGCAAATTTTTTAGGTGATCTAATTAATGCCTAATATTTATTGGAAATTCAGAGTACTGCAGAGATATTTGCGTCTGACTCTGTGGAAATTTCAGTACGTTTTCAGAAATAAATAACTTGTCGGATGAAAATTAAATTCATTTTAATTGGGTATTAGGAAACAGGTCTTAGCCATCACAAGTTTCTCCTCTGTAAAAGGAACCATTCACTTGATTTTTTAAATGTGAATGCTGAAATTTACGTAGTATTTTTCTACCCTGATAAAGATCAGTCCTTACGAAATGATTTATTTCTAACTGTTTAAAAAACTTAAATTTGTAAACTCACATTGCTATACAATACTACAAGTATTAAAAAGTAATTAAAACAAAATTCTAAATAGCGAATTTTTTTAAGTAAAAAATATAAGCTATTTACTTCCTTGCACGAAGTAAATGAAATATTTCGGGTGCTATATTCAACGCATCAATTATCGAATGCAATTTAATGATGAACTTTTTAAAAATTATTTGAAATGAGGAACGAAGTCACTTTTTTTTCGCTCATGCACAATATAAAAAGGGAAAGGAAAATGGGTTGCCATAAATTAAGAAGTTCGGCAAGTGTATTCTTGGCGCAAATTGAAAAAAAAATGCGGCAAGATAAATTTTTAAATTTCTCCGTAAATTTGGCACATTTTACGAAATTTAATATCAAGGCATAATTTGATTCGTAGAATCGAAATATGGAAAATCGTTGGCATGTCATTTAAGAAAAAGTCCGTGTGTCAAAATACCTGTGTTAGAATATTTTTTATATTTTATATATAAATCTAATACATATTCTAAGTTGCGATTTCGAGACATGAAAAACGCAATTTAAATTTCGGCAATAGGCCCAGTAGAATAGAACTATTCTTTTTTTGTGAAGTGTGCGTGCTAATGAATGTGCATGTGCTAGACATTTATGTATAGGCTACCTAAATCTCAAACTAAGTATATTTTTAATTCATAAGATAACTTTGAGGAAAAAATAACTGCAGATCACTTTGTATAGGAAGCAACGTGGTATTTTATGTCAATTTTATTTGCATTTGAACAATACTTTGTGATTTCCTGAACACTGCAGTACATATTTATATATTATTTTGAATACCATTTTGTAAGAAAAAACAAATATTTTCCACAGACTATTAAAACTTCGTACATCAGTAAAAAATAAATACGGTACTTATGTACATTCGCAATCATCTTAGTAGAAGTAGTTAAATTTTCAGAAAGTCCCAAACTCTGACAACCATGTTGATAACAATCGCTTCAGTCAAGCAATTTCCCCATTTTTATATGCGTTCGATTTATTATATTCCAAGTTTCTATGGTTTTTATTCACAAATCTTGACACTTTTTTGCCTTAAACTTAATTTTAAAATAGGAGCTTGTGGAATTTGCCAGCAATGGAAGAAACTACGGTAAAATTTCTCCAGTAATACAGAATTTGTCTGAACATTTTCTAAAGGGGACAACGAAAAAATGCGTTTTCTAGATAACCGCTGTTGCTTAAGATTGCAGAAGCCGAGTCTCCGCAATTCTCTGATGTTTTTTTAAGTGAAAACAGATCACTGTGTACTTCGGGAGAAGAATAATGCAAATAAATAAATAAAATTACAGAAGGTTTAATTTTTTAATGCATGACATAATCTTTATTACTAATTCAAATTTGAATCTTAAATTGAGAACGTATGTTTTCTCTTCCTGTCGATTTACCAAACTTACTATAAATATCGATAGTTTAAGAATCTTTCTAAAAAAGAAGGCGAGAAAGCCACCAGCTTGCGCATGCTAAGTAACTTTAACATTTGCATCAGTAAAAAGTCGCCAAGATAGATGCTGTAGTACGTAAGTACTATGAATACATTTATGAAATTATATACGTTTAGAATTTGAGACCAGTTTCAGCAGAAGGATTTGGTTTAGATTTCCGTATAAAATTGTAGAAAAGATAATCCACCAGTGGTGCATGTGGGCTACAAACATAAACGTTTTTGTAACCCACCAGTGGAAAACGAGGCCCCCAAAACAAACCAATCATGATCCACCGGTAGGTCATCTGGCAGTTAAGGGGTTAAATGAGTCTTGTTACGAAACCACAAGCTGATAAGGACAGAGGGCGCTGACTAACAGCGCTCGAGCAATGTAGATGTTTTTGAAATACAAATAAACAGTTGAGAACTAAGTTACGGAAAAAATGGTCCTATGTATAAACAAATGAAGAACTGTAACAAACTTTTGGTCATGTATATGTTTTGTGAATAGACTGCAATAAAGTTTTTTCTAATTATATACGTTATTGGATTTATGAATATATTATATTATATACGTTATACGTTATTGGATATACGCTTCGTTTATATTCGTTTATATACGTTATTGGATACGTTATTGGACGCTTCACATTATTGGATTTGTGAAGATCTACCTGGCAGTCAGACTGAACGTAAATACAAAGTAAATTCGATTTATTAATTTGATATTTTGTATTTTTACGTAACGTATATTGATAATAAATCATAGAAATAATTTCTGAACTGAACAAATGCTGCAAAACTCTATTTTTTTAAAATCATATAGTTTTATAAGTACATACATAAACAAGTAAACTAGCAATGAAACACTATAAATGTTCTGTTTACCTGAGAGTGACAAGAGCATTAGCAACGCTGGCTGTAGAAGCGAGAAGTTTCCCAGCACTTAAAACTACCACAAATGTTATCAACCACTGACACTCGAAATTACAATAATTCTTCGTAGCATCTCCAACAGTTATTTCTCCATCATCATTGTGAACACATTTACAGTCAGTGAAAATCTGGAAAATATGCATAAAATAAAACAGGTTTCAATAAACAAATGAAAGTGTCCATAGATTTCAACCAACAATATTTAATAATATTATGAAACATGATTAAATAACTTTTTTGTGTTATTTATTAAAATAAGGCTTTTTTTTCATTATGAACAGCCTAATACTTTTCGTTAGAATATTCTTGCACATGTTCAGCTTTTATACACATCTAAAATTTAATTTATCATATTTTATATCACATTCCATTAGTTTTTAAATTGACAAATCTATAATTAATAAGTAAAGTGAACATTGTAAATATATTATTTGTCGATTTTTTAATATTTTTACGAATTTTGTACTTATAATTTTAGTAGAATTATAAGTAAAATTGTTGTATTTCTTCCGTAACATGAAAAATCTAAAGAGAAGCTATGCCGAAAAAGTAAGAATCCAGGGGCAAGTGCTTTTAACATTGAGTAAATGGGTGTCTCGGTAATTGGCCAGATACCGCCAAGCTGACAACAGTTTTGGCGACTTATTTTATCGCCAAATTTGGTGACCAGTTGGGGACATTTGAATCCGGTCTCTATATCACTTTACTATGTATTGAAATTGGATTGGATTGGATTATTCAATTATGACAAAGCACACGAGGGCTATCTGCCTAAAGGGAGGGATGCCTTCGTGGAGGACGTTCTAAGGGAAACTGGCTCGTATACACATGGAGAAAAACACGAAAACGCCCATGCAGCCATCCCGTTCGCGGGATTCGAACCTCGGACCAAACTACAAGTGTTCAGCGTCTTTGCCGCTCGGCTGCTGGTTGGCCCTGTATTGAAATTGAATAAATGTAATTGACCATTATGTTAGCTGAAACCGTAATTCCAACCTCGTATTGCTTTCCAGTAATTTCGAGAAGCAGAGAGTACTAGAAATATTTTGGCGACTGGCTGAAAACTATTTAAGGCCGAAGACAGCATCTGCTCTCAGTTGCTTAGTTATTGTTGTGCGAGTCGTTAGATGCGCGTGAGTTGAAATACATCCGAGTTAGCTTTCTCTTTAGATGTGTGTCGTATTTAACATTTTTAGTAATTTGAGGCGTAACTTCTGATTGTACTGTGTGATACTGTGACACCTGTATGAGTATTTCTGCAGAAAATTCCAGAAATTTAAAGTGTTTATTTTGAAAAATAAATTTTTATTAACCTATCATAAGACCTCTGTGCATTCTAGCTATTACGAAGCCATATAATATGTTTCTAGAAATACCTTACATACTCAGGTCTTTCTTTAAACTTTACATCTTTAACACACATTCTTTCTAAATGAAATTACTAGTTTCATAGAACCATATAAATTTATGCAGTTTATGTGCATGAGGTAAGGCTGCTGCTCAAAAGTTGCATCAACTACTCTAAATTACTGAAAGTTACACACTTACTAACAAATTTGTCTCATAATTAGTGTATTAAATTTCACTAACTAAAAAATGTTTTAGAAATTCTTTCAGTTTCCTTTATTCTAATGTTTAAGCACTTCATTTGTCACATAAATTATATATTGCAAGTAAGTGAAAATTTAACGCCCTCATTTGTAGATATTTTGCCTATATTTTATTTTAAAATTGTTTTGACAAATCTATATATATATAAAGAAGAAAGTCTGTGTGTTTGTTTGTACGCTAATAACTCAATCACTACTATAGCTATTCTCACCAAACTTTCTATAATTCTTTTCTGGGTCTCGGAAAAGGCAGATGTCATTTAAAAAAAACTGAAATCAGAGATATTACTTAAAAATAATTAAAACGCTAATTTTCGCCCTCATTTCTCCGAGTGGCAACAGTGCAGATTTCAGCAACAATGCAACAATGGCAACAGTGATATATCAGCAACAATGGCTGCGTGTCATTGTTGCTGATATAATGAGAAAGAATTAGATTATTTTTCAATCTAAATTTTTATATGGGTTCCAGTATTGCTCAAAATAATTCATTTTGCTCAAAATAATGATTTATTTATTTTTATTTTTGCTGACCCAAATAGCAATTACATATGTCATATGGGTATATATACCCTATGATTACATAGACAGTTGTGGTATATGTACTGAATATTACTTTGTTCCTTTGGCATTTTTTATGCATTACAATGACGCATCATATTAACTATGACGTGTAATATGCTATTATACGAATTTTCAAATGATGCCATGATTAAAATAATACAATACTCTCAATCTAATTTAACTGGCATCTGGTACTTCCGCTAGTAATACCATAAATAGAAGGCTTCAGCAATAAATAAACGAGGTGAAAACTAAAATATAATCTAAAAACATCTAAAAACATGTCATGCATTTTTTTAGATGCATCTTGCACCCAACATTCAAGAAATTATTATGATGCATAAAATATTGGTAACAATTGAAGTACTGGATTAATTTAGTTCTCGTAACGTTTCATGACCTCATAATATTGAAAATGATCGGCGAATAATTTCAGCGGCAAGAATGCGAAGCCTACATTCAAAGTTCGAGAACTGGTAGGCTTATGACCGCGCACTCTCAGTAGCGGAACTACATTCTGACTAACTTTTGTTTTCGCTACTTCCGCCGATAATATTTGGTAGCAACAATTTGATAAGTGACTCCCTGTTTATAGATTTCAACGCAAAATGCCAAAACGAAATTAATAGTCCTTCAGGGCAAATTGCGCCTTTGAACTAATAAATAAAACTTTAATAATGCATTTTATTTCCTGAACTAATGAAACATATATACTTACCTCTTTTTCGCCGGTTTTGTTATAGGCACTACATCCAGCATAACACGGGGAGAAATATGTTGATTTTCCATCAGGTCCACAAATAGGGGTGTACATTTTAGTTGTGCATAAGCAGTCGGCATTGCATTCATTTTGTAAGTCGAACCTAAACGAAAGCAATAGTTTAGTTCCAGCTTTTAATTCAAACCTCGTGATAAATACGGTTATTGAAATTTCTTCCGATTAGAGTTATTTCTTGGTTATTATATAACAGAGTTCTGCAGCGAATCAGAAATAAATTAGTTTCAGTACAACGACACTAGCTGCTGCTTTTGACCGATTCTTTAAAACAATCTCGACGGAAGTAATTTACATATTGACCGGCATGCCTCCCCTTTCGATGTTTTATTCTTTTACTATGATAAATTTAAATTACATACACAAAATGCTGGTTTTATTACTTACGGAGTTTTTACTGCATCTAGTGTATTTTTCTGTCTTTAATATTAACGGTATGCATCCTGCATTAAGAGAGGCAGTGGAATATCAGAGACCAAATGTTTGCGAGAGTTAGGTATATTTACTGAGGATTCGAGTTATGACAATGAAATTGGGGCAGGCATATGTGATTTAATTTTTTGGCACAGAAATAAGACTATGGCAAAATTAGACTTGAACATAACAATTCGAGTTTTCAAGCCAAATTGGATACTATCATATTTGCTCTTAAATGGACTGATGAAAACCTGACTGTAAAAAGATATATATACATCTTTATTATATGCGGCTTAAGTATCAGTTTGTCGCCGATAGTTTATTGGTTGCTTGCGTAACTGTACTAGCCAATGGGATGAAGTTACCACGGCATTCAAATAGTCCATATATGCTGATACCATACATGCAGTTATCATTGTTTTAATTAAATTATCATGATATTTAAGAACATTTAAATACTTTTAATTCATACAATTGTTGCTTATTATGCATTTAACTATATGAATTACCTAGAAACTTGCAAACGTTGATAAATTAAAGGAGAAGAAACCACTAACGAGTTCTGCGTAGTACATCTCATCAGGTAGGTTTACTCAAACTCCTATGCTAAATATCCTTTCGCGTAAAGAGTTTAAAATTTTGCCCGATTTTATTCCGACATTTATTTTAAACCGAATTTTCAGCTGAACGTAAATTGAGCGTGCAGGGGGAACGTGAACATTTGTTTGCATTTGTAATCATCTGCATTACATAAAAACTACGTCTTAATGTAATTTCTTTTAAGAATGCCTCCTAGAAAATACAGCACTGAAGAGGAGAGAAAAAGAGCGAACAAAAACGGCTTTCTCAACAAAAAGAAACCACTAAGCAGAGAAAGACAAAATGAAACTGATAAACATAGAGAAACCCGAGATCGGTGCGGCCTATATCTAAGTCTTTGACTGGCTTCTCTAAAGGTGAAATACATGTCATTCCAAGAATTGATTTGGCTCCATTGAAAAACAGGGTTGCCGTTTCAATTGAGACGTACACAATTTCCTGTAAAACTTGCCTTTGCTATGACCATCAATAAGACTCAGGGCCAAACGCTTAAGCGTGTTGCCATTTTTTTTTTATCTGAGGCTGCATTTGGATACGGTCAATTCTATGTTACCGTTCAAGAGTTCGTGAAAGAACGGACGTAAAATTAAAAAATAATGGATGGTCCTCTGCAAGGCGAGCTTAAAAATGATGGAAAGATCTACACAAGAAATGTTGCGCACAAAGAGATCTTTGACATGTGAATTAATATTTTATTATTTAAATCGCGTTTATTTATTGAGCTAGCGGTGGCTGTTAAGAAATGTACCGCCAGTGGTTTCCTTCATTGCACTCTACTTTAAGCAATTAAGCAAGTAGAAGGGGGAAACCCCGTGGGGCAGTAAGCAAAGGGGCGTCCTCGCCGCCTGCCCTGTGTAATTCAATTTGAATTCGCAGACACCTTTGCACAAATTATTTTAATTAGAATTTATAATATCTAGAACAGCGCTCATTTCGTATGACTGCCGGGCTTTCTAGCCTATTTGTATGCAGACTCATTGATAACACTAATATTTTGGTCTCAGATATAAAAAATTTTTTACTTGTAAACGTTTGAGAAAATACATGAAGTGAAAATAAACTGGGTGAAAGCCCATATTGATGTTGTAGGCAGTGAGAGGGCAGACATACTAGATTTTGAAAAAAAAAAAATCAAAATATCTGATATTATTACCTCAAAAGGGATATAAGTCTCGAAATGTGATTTTGCGTGAAATTATTAATAAACGCAATGTTTCATTTTCCATTCGAGTCTGTTGCCATTCGGTAAAATGTAGGTTATTTATCTTTTGAACTGAATCCGTTTGTTGTGAATTAATAAACTAAGCCATACAAAAGCAATAATGCAGTTTTAAAGAATATTTATTTTTTTCATTTTAAATCAAATTGATTTAAATAATAAAAATGCATTTAATTAATGATGTATCTAATTGAAAATATTCAGCATTTTTATAGAATGACATTATATATTTTTATTATTTACTTCATATTTCGTAAAAATTTATTGAGTGTTTGATTAAGAAACTCAGCGATTTAAAAGTGAGCAGTGGCAACACTGTACAGAAGAAAACACTTTTTTTTTATCTTCCGCGCGCTAGACTGTTCATCGGAAATTCTAAAGATATGCTATTTTAAATATTTTGTGATTTGTCTGTTGAATTGAATTTTATTAGCCGTAAGTCCGAAGAACTTAATATTTCATAAATAAAGTAAATACGCGAAACGTTAATAACAAAAAGAGAAAAGAAATTTTGCAAGCCATCTTTCTATGAAAACTGAACATTGATAAGGTTGTAGTGTCCAGCAGGGTTAACTTCTATCTGTATAATGGAGTAGGAGGAAACTACACAGACGAAGGGTTAAAAACTCTTTATTAACTCTTTGAAATTTACACTGCGTCAACTCGACGCTAACAAACTTCGCCTCTACTTAAGTGGTAACTGAAAAGCAGGTAATTGAAAATCAAAAGTTAAAATGTTTAACAAGTGCTAAACTAATCTACAGGGCTCAGCGAGATACCGATCTTCGACGCCCCTCTAAAACTAGTGGCAACAGATAAATGCATTTAAGCCACTTGAATCAGCAATTGTACCTACGGCAGAGACGGCTGTTCGAGCCCAACTCTCTAACTTCCCTTCTAAAACCTTGGTATTTAAACTTTCTTCCTCAAAGTAGAATTTGCATTCACGTCACGTGCGCTACCGAATTTAACTATTCTGGCACTGACAATTAGGGGAATGAAGGCTTATAGCAAAGTCTGAACTAAAATTTAAATTATTAGTTAAAATAAATATAAATCCCTACAAGGTGAATCGAAAAAAGGCTAGAAAAATATAAAAAATATACTGTTATGACAATACTTAACGCTGCATTATGTATTCTAAACATATGCTGCTAGACTAGTGTTAAAAGTTTTGTGATATTATAGTTGAATTGCATAAGTGTGAAGAAACCGATGCTTAATAATAAAGCTAAAATCCCCCCCGAAAAAAAGGGGGGTTAGTAGAAGTGAATGCAACGGCAGACTAGTAGACTGCGAGTTCAACGAGAACGTTAGGTTTCGTTCAGGCAGTGGTATACATTTCAGAGAGGTATAGTCCTAAGGCATAAAATACGAGAGATCCGTTCACACCTGCGAGACAGGTCTAAGTCGTAGCCACTTAGAGAAGCTAAGTTTATGCATGGATGGATGGGTCTACAGATTTCCCTTTCTGTTTTTCCACTAAATGAGTTTCGCGGGCTGTCTCTGATTGGTCGACCCTTGTACCAAGTTGAAAACTTCGACTTGTATGCCAAAAACTCTGAACCAGTTTTTGTAACGTAGCAAATTCTGGATACCTAGAAACGAAGTTCGGCTTAAACCTGTTATGACATTTGTACCACCATCTGAACGCAGCCTTCAAAAACATGAACACATCCTTTTAGGCGGCTGTTAAATTCTGCATACTTTCATATTTTTTTAAAAAATTTACTTTTAATTTTCTCCTACGAAGAGCAGAAGATTTGAATTATAGGTTTTGTTACTTTTGTAGTATATCATTTAAACAGAAAGCAATTAAAACATTTAAATTTATTTTTAAAGCCTGATTTGTGATTTCATGCACCACTAAAATATTTAGGGCGAAAACGCCTCAGTAACATGTAAGATCAAGCTTTTTTGTAAAATTTAAAGCTTGAAAAAAAAAAAAAAAAAAAAAAAAAAAAAAAAAAAAAAAACCCGCTAATTCTAAAATTATATGTTTTGAACCCGAGAAAATGGCACATTTTCATTCGTATTTAAATTTTACCTTGAAATATTTGCATTTTGCGTCTTAATTTTTATTACAAATTGTTATTTACAGTTATTCAGATGTTAAATTAGCAACGTTGCAAATTTTTGATACTTGGGAATTCATTACGTTTCAAGTGTTTCAAAAGCTTGAATTGCGATAAATACAGAATGCATTTTCCTTCGAACTTTCTTTCCAATGACTTGCAGTTTTGGAATACCTATCTAAGTTCAATAGTGAGCAAACTTTTAGAATTGGGAATCCTCGTCTAGCTAAATTATAAGGCATTTTCCCCCCTTTTAAAGGGCGACTGGGAATTAGGGCACCCAGTCTCCAAACCCTGGTGGTGAAGAAGCATCATCCGCCACCTTTAATTTAAACGCCACTGTAGAGTTACTGTAGACTTTTAATTTAAACGCCACTGTAGACTTTTAATTTAAACGCCACTGTAGAGCCATTAGGCTCTTTTTTTAAAACAGGGGACATGAAAAATAAGCAATGCCTTGGCTAGAACTCTAACCTGGACCTTTCGAATACGCTCCGAGTGTGCCAATCTTTACACCAAGAAGGTAGGCAGAATGGAGAGAGAACTCCGCGCATGCTTGCGCTATCACTGTGTGCGTTTTGGTCAGCTGCATTATTTTGTTTATTTTTTGCGATGATTGGTTTGTAAAAGGGAAAAAGTGTGTTTGCTTTGTGTTTTTCCTTTGTTCGTATACTTATTTCAATCATTAGTTCGATTTTACACGCCAAATTTAAGGATTGGTAATCATCTTAAATCTTCAAGGGAGAGAAGCCTACATGGACGCGATTAGTTGATGTT